GTCTATATCTCTGTTTTGGTACCAGTACCATGCTGTTTTGGTTACTGTAGCCTTGTAGTATAGTTTGAAGTCAGGTAGCGTGTTGCCTCCAGCTTTGTTCTTTTGACTTAGGGTTGTCTTGGCAATGCAGGCTCTTTTTTGGTTCGATGTGAACTTTAAAGTAGTTTTTCCCAATTTTGTAAAGAAGGTCATTGGTAACTTGATGGGGATGGCATTGAATCTATAAATTACCTTGGGCAGTATGGCCATTTTCATGGTATTGATTCTTCCTATCCATAAGCATGGAATGTTCTTCCATTTGTTTGCGTCCTCTTTTATTTCACTGAGCAGTGGTTTGTAGTTCTCTTTGAAGAGTCCTTCACATCCCTTGTAAGTTGGATTCCTAGGTATTTTATTCTCTTTGAAGCAATTGTGAATGGGAGTTCACTCATGATTTGGCTCTCTGTTTGTCTGTTACTGGTGTATAAGAATGCTTGTGATTTTTGTACATTGATTTTGTATCCTGAGACTTTGCTGAAGTTGCTTATCAGCTTGAAGAGATTTTGGGCTGAGACGATGGGGTTTTCTACATAGACAATCATGTCATCTGCAAACAGGGACAATTTGACTTCTTCTTTTCCTAATCGAATACCCTTTATTTCTTTCTCTTACCTGATTGCTGTGGCCAGAACTTCCAACACTATGTCAAATCAATAAACGTAATCTAGCATATAAATAGAACCAAAGACAAAAACCACATGATTATCTCAACAGATGCAGAAAAGGCCTTTGACAATTCAACAGCCCTTCATGCTAAAAACTCTCAATAAATTTGGTATTAATGGAACGTATCTCAAAATAATAAGAGCTATTTATGACAAACCCACAGCCAATATCATGCTGAAGGGGCAAAAACTGGAAGCATTCCCCTTAAAAAGTGGCATAAGACAGGGATGCCTTCTCTCACCACTCCTATGCAACCCACATTTTTTGTGTGTCACCTGCAGGCTAGATCCCATGCAGGCAACAAAAGACATAGGAGTGAATGTCAGAGACAAGACCCTGCAGAGAAGTCAGGGCAGCTGCCAGCAAAAGACACCAAACCAGGCAGAACATAGCTCTTTCTGGTTCCTTAAGTTTAGTGATCCTGATCTTAGGAGGAGGAGAGAAAATACTTTTTAGAGACCAGGTCAAAAATAGCTCAGTGTATATGCTGTGTTGGTGACTCTTGCCGTCTGGTTTCAGTGCTGATTTTAACACCTTTAGCAATCTCAGATTTAAAGCTAAGTTATTCTGGCACTTGGTAGGTTAGATCCCTAGGGATGATCCTATCACTGGGGGTTATTTCTCACTGAAGTGTAAGGACTTGTTTAACTGTAAGCTGTAGGTGTGAATTCTGAGCATTTAACTGAATGGTATGAATCTGCTGTGTTAAGTTTTCCTTCTATCCTGAAGATTCTAATAGCTTGTCATGATCCAGCTGAATGTGGATTTTTCCTTTGTTGATGCTGGCCCACTTAGGCCCAGGTCCAGCAACTTAATGAGCAGTTGCAGGGAGCATTCACTGGAAATAGAAATGAAACCGACTCCCTTTATGTAACTAGGAAAGGAGTCATAGTGCTGGAAAATAATCTTAGACCTCAACTGACCTGGGTTCTGCCACTCTAGAAATGCAGACCCAGGGAAACGAAGTGACTTGCCCAAGGACACTTGTGTAGTTTGGTCAGGCTATGACCGAGAGGTAAAGTCCCCTGACTTCCAGTACTAGACCACATTGCCTTCATTTTAATGCATTTTAAACTGACTTTTATGTACAGTCCATGTCCAAAAAGTTCAACTTTCCATTTAGCCCATTGAGAGGAACCTGGACTCCATTTATAAACCCTCTGAGAGGCAGAATATAACTGTCTTTCACAACCCATTCCTGAATTTCACAGCTACTAGGAATTTTTATGTGCTGTTTTCTTCCTCCTATCCCACTCCACAAAATGCCACTACCTATTACTTTCTTTGAGCAAATAGCGATTTTAATCATTCTCTTTTTCCTTGATTTCAATTCTCTGAAGGCCTATCTGCTCCATTTGCCACAGATAACATGCAGAAACCTCACTTGCAATGAGGGTCGCACTTCTCTTGGTAGCCTGGCATTTCGGCATTTAAAGAAGCTAAGTATCTCCATCCCCATTAAATTAGGCTCAAATTGGAGAAGAGAATTACATAGTTAAAAACACAGAGGCAAAATGATGGATTAATGTTATACCTTAATGTAACACATCATGACATGCAGTAGGAGCATTAGACCAATTAGCAAGCAAGTCTTCTGCTTGGGTTCATCATTTCTGCTGTGTATGTAGAAAGGGATAGCAATTTGAAGGATGGCATTTATCAAACCCCTTTGGATAAAAAGTGTCCACTCTAGCAACATGACCTGCATTCATTATAAAGATGGCACCCCATTTGCCCACATGGCAAAGACCCAAATGCTACCCCAAAAATACTGTTTCCAAATTGGCGGTTATGCTTCTGACTTTATTTCTAAAACTTATTGAAATCCATTGCAATTGTGCCTAAATTGAAAGTTTAATATGCTCCAAAAATATATCCTGCTCTTTTCTTGAGAGGCAGCAAATTCTAAGTGATGCCATTTAGCAGGTTTTTTGGTCTGGGTCTCCCCCACCCCTCTCTGCTCTTCGTTTCTTATCAGTCTGATTGGTAACAGAAAGGAGAGAGGAACAATAAATCTTCCAGTTCCTCCTGGTGTGAATGCCCAAGATATTGTCAGAAGCAAAATGTATGAGGAGGTGGGGGGAGTGTGGGTCAGCAACTTGCAGGGGAAAGGGATGGTTTTCTGCTATGGTAAAGCAGAAAAACCCTGTCATGGAGTTTAAATTAACAGAATCTGCCCGGAGGGGAGCCATGGTCTTTGTGTGGCTGATTAATGTCAGTCCTGTAAACGCAGCACTCCAACAACAGGGCTAGTCAGCTGACCAGGAAGCTTGGAGAACAAGAATCTCCTGCCTAGGGGATCAGAGCCCAGCTGAGTGCCTCTAAACAGGGCTGAAGAGAAAGCTGCAGGCCGGGAACAGAAGTGATGGAGTTAGATTTCAGCTATGTGTCTCAGTGAAGGAAACACAGGCAGCCATTAAAAGCACCTTCCCTTTTGGCCTTGCTGCTGCAAAGAGCAGCAGCGTGCAAATCCGCCCCTACCTCTCCTCACTTATCTGTTCACAGCACCATGGCCTTCAGAACAGTGTGTCAGAAATCACCTTCTTCCATAACTGAGCTTCAGGCCTGAAGAGGAAAAATTTCCAAGCATAGATCTCCTGAAATCCCTAAGGAGATTGGGCAAAGAGCCTAGGGAAAACAGGACTTTGCATGTTGTTCCTCATGCCTACCTAAAAATGCTGGTTGCACCAGGCAAGTCCTTGGTTAATGCATTAGTGAAATGGAATTTGTAGTTCCCAACACATGCACTAATGAAAGTCCCTGCATGAATTTCCTGCCTGCTCTTCTTGTTGGCAAGAGCAGCGTACCATATGCTGGAGGTGGAAGTTAATTCTGTAGGGAATGTGTGTGATTTGAAAACCTGTGTGGTGTATTTATGTCAATTGCTGATGTGTTTCCATAAATGCATTTTTGTGACTTTGAGAGGCATCCTGAGACCACTGAATCAGTCAAGGCAGCTTCCGGGGCACACAACCTTTTCTGACACCCAGACAGGGCCATTGTTTTCCAGGTGCAAGCTCGATCACCTCTGCAACCCCTCTGTGTATTCCCCTAGGGATTCATGTTGAAGAATTCAATCTTGCAGTCACTCCAACAATAGCCAGAAAGCACCCCTAAATGGCTGCTCTGAAGCCTTATTTCAAGGAGGCAGCAAGAGAAGAGGAAAGCCTTCTTATTTTTAATCCCAGCATCAATAAAATCACAGGTTGATGTGTATACATCACAGGGCAGTTGTTTTGAAAAAGAAATAAATGATGAAACTTCGGAAAAAATGGACTCTCTGGAACGGAACCAAGAACAAGCTCTCAGTGTTGACCTTTTGGTTAAAGCCACATAATGCAATTTATGTCATCCCTCCAAATATATGATTTTATTGGTTTGCTGGGAACTTGGGCTTAAGAGAAATTGTACACTAGGAAAGTAAAACGTTTAGCTCTTATTATTGCCAAATGAGGTGTTACAATAAGAAAAAAGATGGCTAGGCCCTCCCCTCTAAGAGCTTATATTCTAAGGTTCCATGATTCTCAAAAGACATTTTCAGATGGTTGTCATAACTAAAGACCTCTGACTAATGTCTGTCTTCATTAACAGTATTTAGGATCAGAATGGTGCTTTTTCAGCCGACAAGGCTGTTACAATTTACTTCTTATAAATCCTAACAACTAAAGTGAACTTGAGGTTTCTAAACCATTTCCAAGTGCTGAGATCCTCTAATGAAACCAGTTAAATCAATATTCAGAACTAGAAGTCAATCCAACTGTTATTCAATAATTAATTGGTAGTTAATAGACATTTCCTAGTTTATATGTTTTAGCTTTAGTACATAGTAATATAAAATGGTATTTTGGTAACTAAGTACATTTCTTGAAATCGTAGAGCAGGAGAGCACCCTTGGACTAGATCCTCTCCCTTCCTTGATGGAGTGCTCCAGGCTCACTGGCCCTTGGATTTCTTTCTTCCCTCTGTAATCCCTTGTGACCTCATTCATTTCTCATGGCTTTGCGTGACATCTGTACACCAATGACACTCAAATTTATAGCTCCATCTTGGCCCTCTCCTCTGAACTGCAGCCTCTTCTATCTGCCTTTCTGCTTGACATCTGCACTTGAATATCAAATGCACATCTCACACTTAATCTGTCCAGAATAGGGATTCTGGTCTTTCATTTAAAACCTAGTCTTTCTGCAGCCCTCCCCACCTCAGCTAATGACAGCCTCCTCTTTCCAGTTGCTCAGGCCAAAACCTAAGGGTCATTCTAGAAGCCTCTGTTTCTCTCACATCCTATATCCTGCCAGCTCCACAATCAGAAAACACTCTCGCCACCTCCAAGTTCAGAACACATCCAGGAACCCTTCATTTCTCACCAGCTGGGTGCTTAGAATAGATGTGGAACCTGACCCCTACTCACCACTTCCGACACCATCTGCCTTGTTCAGGCCACCAAGATTGCATGCTTCTGTTGCTGTAGGAGGCTGCTGACTGGTCTCCCACCTTCCTCTCTGGCTGCCCTTCCATCTGTTCAGGAGCAGAAGCCAGAGGGATCCTGTTAAAATCTACATCACGTCTCATGACTCCCGTCTCACAGCTCACCGGTGGCTTCCCCTCACCACCACTACAGCCCCACTGTAATGTAAAATCTCCTCAAGAAATGTTGGACTTGCCCATGGCTAGACTCGCAAGCCCCCTAGAAAGTGCCTGGTAGATTCTAAATAAATCTGTGTTGAAGTAATTAATTAATTCATCGGTTTGGGTTGGTTTCTATTTCTCTTTCTGTGCCACATCTTTACCGCTGCATCTATTAGCCTCTGAGAGTTTTTCTTAAAGATCTGTGGGGGGGCAAGTTGTATATTGAGAATATCCAACTATTTCTGATATTTGTTGCCGATATTTTCCCAGTTTCTTTGCCTTTTAATTTCATTTTTTCCCACGAACTGAAATTTACATTTTTGTAGAGCCACAGCTGTCTGTTTCTGTAATAACTATTTTTCTTGTTGTGGGCCTTCAAAAGTCTGCAAAGCTGTAACATTCTAGCGCAGATCATCTGGCCTTGCTCTTGCCCACTCATGTTCCTGTGTCTCTCCCACAGGCATCAACAGGAAGGTCGTGTACTCCCTGGCAGATTCAGCTGGTGGGGTCTTCTCCATTGACAGCTCATCCGGCATCATCATCCTGGAGCAGCCACTGGACCGCGAGCAGCAGTCTTCATACAACATCAGCGTGCGGGCCACTGACCAGAGTCCTGGACAGTCCCTGTCCTCTCTCACTACTGTCACCATCACCGTCCTGGACATTAACGACAACCCCCCAGTGTTTGAGAGGAGGGACTACCTGGTGACAGTGCCTGAGGACACTTCCCCTGGCACCCAGGTTCTTGCTGTTTTTGCTACCAGCAAAGATATTGGCACAAATGCTGAGATCACTTATCTCATCCGGTCTGGGAACGAACAAGGGAAATTTAAGATCAACCCCAAGACAGGTGGGTAAATAGCACCGTACTTAGAATGCAGAGCTTCAGCTTGGCATGGTGGCTCACACCTGTAAACCCAGCACTTTGGGAGGCCGAGGCAGGAAGATCGAGTGAGTCCAGGAGTTCAGGACTAGCCTGGACAACAGAGTGAGACCCTGTCTCTACAAAAATTTAGAAAAATATATTAGCCAAGCATGGTTGCATGCACCTGTGGTCCCTGCTACTTGGGATGCTGAGGTGGGAGAATTACTTGAGGTCTGGAGCCAGAGGCTCTAGTGAGCCACATTCCTGCCATTTCACTGCAGCCTGGGCAACAGAGTAAGACCGTGTCCAACACACACACACAAAAAAAAAAGAATGCAGGACTTCACTATATCCTGCTTCTCCTCCACTCTGCCAGCCCTTCTTGGCGGACTCTTTTTCCTCCTCCTACCTCCTTCACAGAGGAAACAAATCTGGTAGCAGGGCCCACATGCAGACCACAGAGTGCCCTCCAGCTTTTAAGGATGGCTCCTGCTAAATTTTAAGCTCCTTGCTGTGGGCTTATTTAGCAAATATCTGACCCCCAGGTTGGCTCCAGAATTTCTAGATGGGAGGGCTCAGGGGCAGCAATATGGTTTCTCAATGGGGAGAGGAAATACTATTTGTATTCCAAGAACAAGAGTTTGTTTGATTTTCTCTCTTTTCTGTTTGATGTTGGGTGTTTTGACTTCAGTCATATGTGCACATGTTGGAAAATGTTCGTGGGGATGAGCCTCCACGTGCAACTGTCCACACTTGGACTGCCACGCTTTCATGACCTGCACAGGCAGATGCTGATAAGTGATCTGCATGGTGATATGCAGCCTTCTCAACCCAGCACCCCAAATAGACTCATCAGTGAGCTGGAACTGGTGCTTTGTTTGAACCCAGTTCACAATTCCTGATCAGAAAACTCATTTCTCACCAGATCCTTTTCCAGCTCTGGGGGAACGTGTAGCATCACCTAGGGAATAAAAAGGTGCTTTGAAATAAAGGGAAAGAATAAGAGAGAACCCTGGGGCTTTCTCTTCACCAGCGAGTTAATAAGTATTAGAGGTGCTTCAGGCAAATAAAGGTCGTAATTCTAGAAAACAAGCTTGGATATTATTTGAAGACTAAACATACTCATCCTTGTGTTTTCATAGAGTGTATGGATTTCTATCCCAAAGCTCTTTGGTGGATATTCTCACTATTTCCCAATTCCCCTATGAATAGTCAAGGCAGTTCCCATTTTGCAGATAACAAAGATGAGTTTCTCACCTTCCAGCCTTTGGACATAGTTCCCTTGTCACTCAAGGAGTATGCACCTGTTGAACAATGTGGCAAAGGAGGTCCATTTTCCTTTGGATAATCCAGTAAATATAAGCAAGAAACCATTATAATTAGCAGTGTTTATTTAACATGGCAAATACTCCAGGCTCTTATTAAGTAAAACCAGAACTTTAAAGACGTTGAATAATTACCACAATGTCCACTGTTAATAAGTGGTTTATCCAATGTTTGAACTAAGATCTTTCTGACTCTGGAATGCATATTCTAATATAATATAATATAACACTACTATACTATAGGGATACCAAAAATGTAAGAAATGCAGTCTTGGCCCTTAAGTATTGGAAGGTGAAAATATTGATGGAAGAATTGCATCACAGTCTCTCCTGGCAGTAACTGTTTACTAAAGTCATTATCTCAAATAAAATGTATGAGGATTTCCCTCATTTAAATATGTGTTGGCCCTAGCCTGTCTAGTTATGGCCATTGTGTATAAACACCATGGGGAAATGGCTAAGTACTATTTAAATTTAGCACTGGTTAGCAAGACTGGGATGCAAAATAAGCACTAGGAGTGGTAAGTGCTAAGAAAACTTAATTATGGAGAGAAAGAGGCTCTTGTTACAGGTATGATTTCTGTGTTTTGCCTTAGGTAGAAAGAGCCTATTGGCAGTCTTAGCAACTAGAGAAGTTGCCTGTCTGGAAATGTGAATGGTCATGACCTTCTCACCGGTCCTCATGATTGTTTACTAGGTGGGAGGAAAGTAAATGCCCTTGAGAAGTGTTCTGCAGGCAATACAATGACTGCAGACTGCAGGATTGGGTTACCTCCCCAGAAAGGGCTAGGATGGGAGGGATATAGCACCAACATCCAGCTAGCTGCTTTCACATGTTCTACTTATTTAAGCAATTCTGTGACACAGACATTATCGTCTCTATTCTGTAGTTGCGGGCACTAAACTCAATATGTGCCTGCTGAGCTGTCTGATTTCCAAGTACTTCCTTTTCCATTATGTCTCTATACCTTGAGATTTCTGAGATCTTTGCCCTCTTTGTGCCATAATTGTTTTAGAGAAGTGCGTTTTAACTTGGCAAGGCAACTTTGTGGTTAATCCCATTCAGTGAAGTCTGCAAGTATTTACTTGCTGACAAGAGTGGGGTCATACCGTCACATCCCCACATCTCAGCTCATTCTTGGTCTTCTTCTGTCCACCTGAGGCATCAGAAGACACCTATCAGGGATGCTTGTTTTTGTTCCTACTAGTTAGTTGTGTGAGAGTGAAGATGCCAGAGATTTTCAACTGCCTCAGAGATGTTCATAAACTGTTACAGAAACATGTAAAGACTTTTCATTTCTTCAGGGTTATGTTTGATGGCTAGCTATGCTCTCACTGACAGCATTAATCAGACTTCTGTAATACTTTCAGTAAGGCATTAAATAAACAAATTCCTGAATGTTTAAGTTCTTGGCTGGAGAGGATGTTAGAAATATTACCATGATTATAGAATTGCTGACCAATGTTTTTTCCTAATCAAATATAAAGCTCCCCATTTTTCTTCAAAGGGGGTATTTCTGTCTCTGAAGTCCTGGACTATGAATTATGCAAAAAGTTTTACCTGGTAGTGGAAGCCAAAGATGGTGGCACCCCAGCTCTCAGCGCTGTGGCCACTGTCAACATCAACCTCACGGATGTTAATGACAACCCTCCCAAATTCAGCCAAGACGTCTACAGTGCAGTTATCAGTGAAGACGCCTTGGTGGGAGACTCTGTCATTTTGGTAGGTACCTGAGGTTGGGGATGGTTCTAGATGTCTGGGACTAGTCATCCACAATAAAGTGAAGAAGAAAGCAAAGTCTGTCTTGAATTTTCTTCATACTTCCCCCTTTCAGTGTCCATTTGTCCCCAAGAATGGGGGCCATCTTTCTATGGCTCCTTCTGTAATTTGTATATTAGGAAGAGTCTGATAGATTAATTTATATCAAGGTGTAAGTGACTGATAATCACTTATCTCCCAGGAGCACATCTTTTTTGAGAAAACAACACAGACCATAGGATGAATTTTTAATGATGGCCCCCTACTTAGATGTGAACATAGATGACAGGTTATTAGGTGGCTAGGCGGAATACATTCTTTTTTTCTTTTTTTTTTTGAGATCTGTTGCACAGCATGATGAATATAGTTAATAGTGGTATATTGTACATTTCAAAATGGCTAAGAGTAAGTTTCAAATGTTCTCACCACAGAAAATGCTAGGTATTTGAGATAGTTGATATGTTAATTAGCTTGATTTAATTATTCCACGTTGTGTTCGTAAATCATAATATCACTTTGTACCCCGTAAATATATGCAACTATTATTTGTCAATTTACAATTTAAAATTATTAGATTGCTGAGGACAAAATAAAATCCTTGTCCTCCTTTCCCCCTACACACACAGACACACAGAGTTGGGCAGCTACAATTTGGAGCAAAGCTAAGATTGATTGGCCACTCTTAAAGGAGACTTTTCCAGGAGGAACTTTTTCTAACAGTAAGAACAAGCCATGTATCCTGAGAACACAGATTCTCTTAGACCACAAATTACATTTTGGAACAATGAGTCCCCTTCTCACCATCCTTCCCCATCCCTTGGCTGGCAGGTCCCTTCCATCCAAGTCATCTCATTGCAGGATGAGGCTGGAGCAGCTCTCTGCTGGAGGACAGTGCATTTCTTATACATCAGAAGTGCACTCCTCAGGCCCACTCTGCTTCCTGGAAAGTACACGAATATGTCCATACATACAAATTTCAACATAATCAACCTGGAACAATAGACAGAGGGGCTGTATATTTGCTGTGGGGGAAGGGGAACTTTCTTGGCTTCCTTAACATGGAAATACATAGGCCTAGAGAATCCCTGACTCAATGGCAGAGACCATAGCTTGCAGGATTGGGAAGAAATCAAAGCATTCCTGTCTATTAGCTTTGGGGTCTAACCATACTGTCTCAAACCCTGAGGAAAATCAGGCCTAACAGGCATCAGGCTGTGGGCAGGTAAAAAATTAACATAGAAATAAAATGGCAGCTGCGGGCCTGGTGCCACCCTCCTTCAGCTGATCAATCATCTCTTCTGCTGGGGGCGTGGTCACTAACATTAGAGAGCAGAACTCCCGAGAAAACTGTCACAGCTGCACCCATTTAAACAGATCTGGGACCCTAAGAATCAACCTTTGCTCTCTTATGTCATGACTTTTCTTTGTTTTGCTTGTTTTCCATGAAGCTAATAGCAGAAGATGTAGATAGCCAGCCCAATGGACAGATTCATTTTTCCATTGTGAATGGAGATCGGGACAATGAATTTACTGTGGATCCTGTCTTGGGACTTGTGAAAGTTAAGAAGAAATTGGACCGGGAACGGGTAAGCTAATTTAAGACAGTGCCCTTCCCATCCATATCCACCGCTTTCCTAGAATCAGGGGCACAAGCTCCAGGGGTATAAATAGGAAGGAAAGTTCTCCATTCTAAGTAATGAGAGTAAATAAGGATGGGCTAAAATGCAGCATGAAATATTAGGGTTAGACCATTGATAGAATTTTCTTCCTATAACAGATGCTGATTATGGAGGTTTTAAAGAAAAGATAAATATGTATCTTTTTAGGTGGTTTGAATTTTAGCCCTTCCTAGAGCGAAATACTTTCAGGGTATTGGGACCCTGTGGTCCTGACTTTACGAGCAACTTTAGCCCTCGGTGAGCAGATACAAAAAGATCACCTGAAGGCATCTAGGTCAGAAAAAATAGTCCAAAAAATTTCTCTGTCCAAGGTTAAGTGAAGTTTCTAAACATTGTCTTTCTTCACCAAAAACATGCATCTTCAAAGGGAAATTAAATATGGAAAAGGATGACATGATATTGATGCTGAAAAGCAGATAGACTCTACTGGGTGATATATGCCCATAACCCCAGAAATATTAACATTGACAAATAAGACAGATCAGCGATGACAACTGTTGCATTGAGCAAAGGCCCAGAGCCTGGGTCCTAACCAGGGTGGTTTTGTCCCCAGGGACATTTGGCAATGTTTGGAGACATTTTTGGCTGTCATAACTGGGCAGGGGGTGATACTGCCTCCTACTTGACAGAGGTCAGGTTGCTGCTAAACATCCTAAAACACACAGGTCAGCCCCCAACAACGAAGAATTATCCAGACCCAAATGTCAGTGGTGCCAAGAATCACCTGGTCTAGAAAATCAAACTAAAGATGGTTGATCTTTGATGAAGCACAGCCTGAAGATCCAGTTCCTCTGTGTGTGCACAGAAGGAAGGAAGTACTATACCTCTTTACTGTCACCTCTTTGTACCTTGGCAGGTGTCTGGATACTCTCTGCTTGTCCAGGCAGTAGACAGTGGCATTCCTCCAATGTCATCAACTGCAACTCTCAACATTGATATTTCCGATGTGAATGACAACAGCCCAGTATTTACACCTGCCAACTATACTGCTGTGATTCAGGTGAGCAAATCTTGCCTGCCAAGCACTTGTCCCTTTGCATTCAGCTTTCTTCCTCTGCTGTGGTTTACTCATTGTGGTTTATTGCTACTATTACTTAATGTCATCTCATCCCTTCATAGGGCAGGTATTAAAAGAACCTAGTTCTTCTACCACAGCTGATTAATCAATGTGAGTAAGAGCTATCAAGGGGTGGATTTTTTTCAAGTGTCAGGCGCTTTATGCACACTGTCTCTCCCCACAACAACCCTGTGAAGAGGAATGGTGGATTGGCCCCCACTTTATAATTGAAAGAGCTAAGGATCTGTAAGGTTAAGTAATTCACCCAAGATCATGCAGCTGGTAAGTGGCAGAGTCAGGATTTGAATTTGGGACTATCTTCTGCAAAAGAATTCTCTTTCCCCAGTGGCAGGCTGCCTTTAAGCAACTTTATGCTATTCTGGCAGATGACAGAGATTGATACGCATTGTCTCATCAGTCAAAGACAGATTGGGCATCAGGATAGAGCTGGTAGTCATTAAAATTAATTTTCCATAACCAATTTGTTTAACACTTTAAATCCACCTGCTCTTTAAAATCAGACTGCAGGATAGAGTAACTTACTGCTGGTATTCTGCTGTAAGAGAGAGTGGCTCTTCTTCCCATCTATTTTTTATTCCACGAGCACAGTACTAGGTACTGAGCGTCCACTACTTCCCAGTATTTCCAGGAGCTGAAAGCACAACTTTAGGAGGGTCAGGAAATCCAGCCCAGGAAAACTGTCAGTGTAGAGAACTTAGAGGAGACAGAGTGATGTGCATGTCTTGGAGGGCCACAGGTATTCTAGAGAATCAGTTCTTGCCTGATCCAGTTTGGCCTCAGAATCACTCCCAAGGAGTCCCAGGACTTTGTGGGTGGAAGGTGAAATGTGAGTGGGCCAGGTCTTGAGGGTCCCCTTTGGAATAACATTCAAGAATTTGAGCCTGACCAGCCATAGCTGGCCTCCTCAGACCCCAGGGCCACTGAGCTGTCCAGCAATCAGTCTGGAAGGCAGCCTCGAAGGAAGCAGCTGTCTGCTGGTTCCCACCCCTTTGTCAGCGAAATCTGATTCTTTCCTTGTGGTTTTCTCCTCCTCTCTGATGCTTTTTCCAGCAGCTCTGCATTCTTACCACACTCCTGCTTCCCCAGAGCTTTGCCCAGAGTCCATACCTTCCTCCATTTCTCTTTCTCTCAGCTCACTCTTCTCCATGACTATTGCTCACAAGGATGCTCTCTGCCCTCATGGCCTCTGTTTGCTAACCCCAAAACAAAGTGGGTTTCTTCTACTCAATATTCAGTTTTATGACACGCATCGATCAGCTTGACAGACTGTTTTCAAATGCGCAACAGGAGGTCAACAGTGAAAGCACGGAGAGGCTCCGCCCATGAGCGATGATGGGGCCCCTATCCGCAGGGCAGGCATGTCTGTGTTACCTTACACCCTTCTTCTCAGATGGTGACCCTGAGGGCCACACTGTCTCTCTCCCTGTCTTCTATGCAGGAAGCGGCCTTTAGAGAGTAAGCAAACAAGTCAGTCAGCCTTGTGTTTTGTGTGCTGCTGAATATGTTGTCAGCGTGAAATAGTAAGTATATGTGGGGCTATGGTGGTCCCACCACTGATTCCAGAGGGAGACAGTGTCTAGTTTTTGATGACCAACAGGACACTTGTGAAAAGGAGCAAAATAAGAGGTCTCTACAGTCCTTTTCTCTTTCTTCTTCAAAAAATATGCCTCCGTTTTCCTAACCCAGAATGACTTTCTTATTCCCACACATGGTTTTCATAAGACTAATTCAGCACATAAAACTTGACTGGGTCTGCCCTCCAAACTGTAGTGTATCATCGTCTCCATCTCTGCAACCCAAACTCGTTTAATCCTTACATCGATGGCGTCATGAGGCCTGAGCTGATACAACTGATTTCAGGCCCAAGCTGTGGTATTGCTGAAGCCTCAACAGAGTAGGGGAAAGGACAGCAAAGACTGAGCTACAGAGGATTTAATTTGGCATTTTCAACGTGAGGATAATCTTTGACCCAAGAAGGAGCTTTGCATTCCCATTTGGGGAAAAAAAACAGAGAAGTTCTGCAAAATAATGTTTACGTAATAGAATCAGGACTTCCAAGAATTCTGATGAAATTAAGGATTCCCTTTCTGTTCATTGTCAAATTAAGGAATGTTTTACCCCAATTCCCTTCCCTAAAGGAATGTGGCAAAACCGTGTTCTGGAGAATGAGGCAAGGTATAAAGCCCCATTTTCCACTGGGAATATGCCTTTGTATATTGACTAGAAAGCTGCCAGGATGTCCCACCAGAAAATCCAATGCTGTGACATGGTGTGTTGGGCCTCAGCATAGTTGTGTTGTGACATGTGTGTGTGAGGAAGTGCCTCCCCATCCCAGTGGAGCTCTTCAGGTCAGCTTGGGCATTGCCAGCTCACCCAGGACAAGGTGTGCCCAGCACCATGCTCAGAACCTGTAAACCCATGCAGCTCCGAGTCCTTGTGTTCACACTGGTAAAGATTGTCCCATAGGTGGTTGTGGGAAGCAGCCAAAGATAAAAAACATGACAGTTATAGACACCAACGTGTTTTCAGAAGACGAGATAATATCAGAGGGAATCCCTTCTGCTGAAAGCCCTGTTTTCTAGCTCAGCACTCTCAGCCTGTAATGATGGATTTTTGTTTTTGTTTTTAATCAATGCGAAGAGAAGTGTAATTTTATCTTCCTTTTTACTATATACTCTTTTATGCAGGAAAATAAGCCAGTGGGCACCAGCATCTTGCAGCTGGTGGTGACAGACAGAGACTCCTTTCACAATGGGCCTCCCTTTTCATTCTCTATTTTGTCGGGAAATGAAGAGGAAGAGTTTGTGTTGGACTCCCAAGGGATCTTGCGGTCGGCTGTGGTCTTCCAGCACACAGAGTCTCCGGAATACGTGTTGTGTGTCCAGGTATGGCATCGCGCCCTGTCTCCATCGTGCTGTCTTTCTTTCTCATGCTTGTTTCTGTCCACTTTGGTGGATTTTTTCTTTGCTGAGTAAGTCAACATAATTCATTACTATGCAGGAGTGTTCCCCTTTTAATCTCAAATTCAATTTCACACCAATAAAAGCTGCCTGTGTGTGTGAAATTGAACAGGAAGGAAGGGAAGCATCATTGTTCAGGAAGGACATTCCTGTAGAGTATGCCCAACAGATGGTCACTGGGCTTAAATCTGCATTCTAAAGACTCCTGCTGCTTTACACTATTACCCACCACATTACTCCACTTGGGGCAGCTACCAATCCCCGTCGTAAGGGGATTTAGCCGTGTCATGCCTCTGCTTGATAGGCCTTCCCCAGTGAGGCAGGAGGGGACAAAGGACTCAGCTGGCAATGGCCTCCAGCATGTCAGTTCCTCATGGTCATTGGCCTGTGTGACATGAAATGGGACAACGAGGCAAAGGTGGCAGGTATGCAGAGTATAGAAGAAGCAGAAAATGAGAGGGCCCCCAGAAGTTCCCATGTACGATTTCTGCAAATACCAAGATTTGGATCCCATCAGGGAAACTGAGTGATTTTTTCTATCCACTGTTGCCTACAGAGGACAATCTAGGCTCATTATTAATGGTGAAAATAATAGCAATAGTAATTATTGGTATTGGTATAGCATTGACTTGTATACATTGTCTCTTTGGATAAATTACACCTTACTTTACTCCATGAAACCTTCTGAATTAAGGACTGCCAGCTCCAAGCACATCAATGAACTTTTCAATTGCCATCCGCTCCTCCAACAATATTGTGTAAATGATTTTATATCACAGGGTAGTACTCAAGGCAAGGAGAACTTTTCAGTGCCTTCTCACAGAAGCTAGCACAGTTTGCCTATCCTGTCCAGATACAGAGCAGATTTCACATCTTAGGTTTTAGAATCTTTATAAAAGGGTCTCTCTCTGAGTCCCTTGTATTAAACTACCACTGAGTCCTGCGTTTTCTTCCTTTCGTCAGTCATATTCCCATTGCCACTGCCTCACTGTATTCTGCACAGCCCCATCATCGTGCTACTGTGGCAGGAGCCTCCTGGGTGCTTCCTCTGGCTTTAGCTTCATTCTCTTCTGACCCAACCCTTCACTCCTCCCATATTAATCATTCTACTTAGATTATGTCATTCCCCTTAATCAGGGACCAGCAAACTACAGCTCTTGGGCCAAATCCTGCCCTCAGCCTGTTTTTAACAATGAAGTTTTACTGGCACACAGCCTCCTTCATTTAAATATGCGCTGTGACTGCTTCCTTGCACAGGACAGCCTGGCATGGTTGTGATAGAGGCTGTATAACCCACAAAGCTGAAAATATTTATTATCCAGTCCTTTTCAGAAAATGATTGCTGATCCCTGCCCTAAACTAAAACTATCTGTTGGTTTCCTAGTGTTTGAAAACTTAGGCCCTGCAGGCTGAATTCTGCCCCAGACTTTCAGATTTTGAATTTCAGGACCTTTTGACAGACACCACTCTCCAGTCCTTCTCTGGCCACAGGCCTATTGCTCTCTCACCTTATACCCAGCAGCTTCATGCCTTTCTTTCATCTTTCTGGCCTCTGACTTGTGAATGGGAAACCTCTGGTCTATAAAGTCTAAACTCCACTCTCCTTTGAAGCGCTCCACGGTTTGACTTCAAGTTCAATCTAATTTGCTAAAGTTATCTCCTCCTCCATGAATTTTACATTCCAGCGTGTCTTGTTCACATCATCCATCAAATAAAGTATGTGATGATGGCAATAATAAAAATAACAACAGATGGACACAGTGGCTCACACCTGTAATCCCAGTACTTTGGTAGGCCAAGGCAGGAGGATTGCTTGTGCTCAAGAGTTCAAGACAGCCTTGGCAACATAGTGAGAACTCATCTCTACAAAAACAAAAACAAAAAATAAAGTAGCCTGGTGTGGTGGTGCACATCTATATTCCCAGCTACTCAGGAGGCTGAGGTGGGAGGATCACAACCTCCTGAGGTGGGAGCTCAGGAGGTTGAGGCTACAGTGAGCTGTGATTGCACCACCACTGCACTCCAGCCTGGGTGACAGAGCAAGACCCTGCCTCTAAATAAACAAAGCAAATAAACAAATAAAAATAACAATGACATGAACCATCATGTACTAAGTGTATCTATGGATGAGACCTGGGTTTAGTGCTTTGCAGCGACTCTGTCTTTGAATCCCCACAACAGAAGGACCCTGTGAAGTGAGGCTACTATTTTACTCATATTAAAAATACAAAAATTGAGGCTTAGAGAAGTTAAGTAACATACTCAAAGCAGGATATGTAGTGGGTGACAGAGACAAGATTCAAACTCATGTCTGCGTGATGCCCAGGCACCGGCTTTTTCACTGCCTTCCACACACAAGGACACATCTCTCCCCGGATCCCACCTGGTCTGCAGGGTTCACATTTTCAGATACCTGCTCCATAAACCCACCTCATGGGAATCTGCCCTTCTGAAGCCCTGCCCTTCTGAATACTTCCGCCTTGCATGCCATCGGTGTTCAGTAAAGACCTGTTGCCAGAGTGGATGTTCTGTTAATTATTATACATGGAAGGAAAAGAAAAAGCGTTTTTATCAAGCTACCTAGCTTTTCTTTTCATTGTGTTACATTTTATTTGAAGCCTTACCATGATATAATTCCCACTTAAATTATGTCATTTCTTACATATGCAAAAAGGTGCTATCTGGGTTCAGTCAAAAGGAAATAATCCAACAAAAAACAGAAATTTCTCCTCCAAGTGGAAAGACCACTTTATGAGGTTTCCCCTGTGGTTGCTGCATAAAATTAAAACAAGGTCAGCCCGTTGCGGGCTTATTGACTCTTGTAGCCCTCTGTCCTCCTTCTCTATTCACCCCAGCCGGCTTTATTGTGTTGATACATTTTATTGTCCATAACAGAGTGTACATATGGGGATGAAAGGTGATAAATCACTCCTCTTACTTAAACATACGTCCTCAGCATTTTTCAGAATAGTGGCAAGGGATGAAGGAAGAAGCAAATGTAAAGGTACAGACATCTTCTATCTGTGGGTTTTTAAAAACTTGCTATGGTTAGTTTTCTTCGTTCGTTGCCTTTTCACCTCTTGGTTGTTTTAGGCAAAGGATTCAGGCAAACCCCAGCAAGTTTCTCACACCTACATTCGCGTGCGAGTCATCGAGGAAAGCACCCACAAGCCCACAGCCATTCCCCTGGAAATTTTCATTGTCACCATGGAGGATGACTTTCCTGGTGGGGTCATTGGGAAGATTCATGCCACAGATCAAGACATGTATGACGTGCTCACGTTTGCCCTAAAATCGGAGCAGAAAAGCTTGTTTAAAGTGAATAGTCATGATGGGAAAATCATCGCCCTGGGAGGCCTGGACAGCGGCAAGTATGTCTTGAATGTGTCTGTGAGTGATGGTCGCTTCCAGGTGCCCATTGATGTGGTCGTGCATGTGGAACAGCTGGTGCATGAGATGCTGCAGAACACTGTCACCATCCGCTTTGAGAATGTGTCCCCTGAGGACTTTGTGGGGCTGCACATGCATGGGTTCCGGCGCACCCTGCGGAATGCGGTCCTCACCCAGAAGCAGGACAGCTTGCGCATCATCAGCATCCAGCCCGTGGCAGGCACCAACCAGCTGGACATGCTGTTTGCGGTGGAGATGCACAGCAGTGAGTTCTACAAGCCAGCCTACCTGATCCAGAAGCTGTCCAATGCCAGAAGACACCTGGAGAATATCATGCGCATCTCAGCCATCCTGGAGAAGAACTGCTCAGGGCTGGACTGTCAGGAACAGCATTGTGAGCAAGGCTTGTCACTGGATTCCCACGCGCTTATGACCTACAGCACGGCTCGCATCAGCTTTGTGTGTCCGCGTTTCTACAGGAACGTGCGCTGCACCTGCAATGGTGAGTGCAGTTTTGAATGTTCCCTCCCAACTCCTGAGATTGTAGGAGTAGACTGAGTTATCATTCCAGCATGCCTGCGTTCAGTCATTCGTTCAACTAAATATTAAATGATCACTTACTGTGTGCCCAAAAACTGTAATAGATGCTGGGGCTGCAGGAGGTACAGTCCATGTAGCTGTGGCTCAGGGAGCAGCACAGACAGACAAACAGGCGAGCCTATTTGATACATATTGTCAAGAAATGTACAAAGTCCTATGGAGGACCCAGTGGATGGGGGGATTTCCCAAAGGGAGTATCCTCTAGGTAGAGATAAGGGTCCAGTAGGAATTAGGGTAGAGGAGGGAGAGCCTTCTAGGCGAGGGGCAGCTTGCATGAAGAAGGCTTAGAGGCATAAGAGGAACCTACACTGGGGATGGAAAGAGCTTTCCTCTGGTTGCAGTAAGCAGGGCTGGGATGTGAAATAAGGCTTGAGAGCAGGCCCAGACATCACACAAGGGCCATTAGCCAAGACGAAGAATTTAAAAATTATCCCAAGGCAGTGAGAGCCATTGGCTGATGAGAAGCGAAGAAGTGGCAGAATCCGATCTGTCTTTTACAGAGGGTGTGCTGGCTGCAGAGGGGAATGGATTAGAGGAGGCCAGGCCAGAGGCACGGAAACAAGTTAGGAAGCTGTTGCCAAGAGTAAGGGCAGTTCGATTTGCTTCAGTGAGAAACAGGGGCCAGATGTCCAGGAGCACAGTCAAGGGATGGATTCAGCCCTCAGAGTGGCAGGGAAGGAATGGTTCGTGTTGTTGATGTAAGTGGCGTCACTGAACTTTGACCTTTACTGGTCAAAGGCCATAGTTGCACAGAGTCACATGCCCATAGTGATCGATGAGAAGCACTGCCCTCTCTCTCTTTTCCTCTGTCTGACATGTGGAGCCATAAATTCACTGCCCTCTTCTAAGGAAATTGCAGCCAGAGTTTTTCTAGCCAGTGTGAATTTGGTCCAAAGGGACCATGGCCAGAGGGAGGCCATTTGTAAAACATCCTTTAGGTAATTAGGGACAGGCAGGGCCCCTGGCCTCTTCCCTTGCAGAAAGTTCTTGGTTGCAGTTTGGAGAATGATGTCATCGGGGGAGGCCCTAGGGGTCATAACTCCCTCTGAGAGACACTTTGACAGCCTCCAAGCAGCCCATCAGTGTGTCAGCTGCTCTCTCTGTGGTATCCAGTGAATTCTGTTTGTGATTGCATCAGGTAGAAGCAGGGATGTCCAGATTTGTTTAATATGTAAATTAGCTGCAAAGTAACTCAAATTATGCATACTAGGTGAAATGCATTTCTGGCAGATGTCACCAACATGCAGAATTTATGAATGCCAGCTGTCTGGGCCTTACCTAGATTTCCTTTGTTGGCAAACTGATTTATACACCAAAGCTCTTCTAGGGTCTGTATGCAGTGATTCACACTAGGGTTCAAAAGGGTTTGGAACAGGACAGGGAAGACCCTGAAGAAGAAACTATACCAGCTAATTGATCCTTGTACTCTGAGAACTCATTTATTTCTGCAAAAAATCTGCGAAGGCAACAATGTCCTAGGCACTAAAGATTCAAAGTAAAAAAGATGCAGTTCCTGTCCTTAGGAGATGACAATTGTAAAGTCAGCTTGCAAGCACCTACTTGCTGTAACAGTGCTACAGAAAATGCTAGAGTATAGAAGGGACAGAATCTCTCCTGTGGCCAAAGGAAAGCTGTCTGTGGTATCTATACACAGAGACCACCAATGTGCTAGGTCTTCAGGGATGAGTTCATCAGGAAGAGACTGGGGTAGGGGCAGGGAGCAGACTTTGAATAATTCTTTAAAAGAAGGATTTGGAGGAGGGGTTTGCTCTCTATTTTACATAAGATGCTAATGTCCTAAATGCAATATGTTTCACGGTGGTGTCTCTGCCTAGGACCCCTGTTCTCTAGTCTCCACAAACCTTTCTACTCCCAGTAAATTTAGAATGCCAGAAGGTTTTGTGAGTCAGGCCCCGGTCATCCCAAGAGGAAGCCTTCAGGATTTGAAAAGCCAGCATTTGCTCAAGAAGAGCTTTGTGCAGAGTCAGGCCATGCTCTCAGCCTTTTCTCACCTTCAAGTCACTCTTATAATTAAGCTATAAAATGAAATTCTAGATTTTAGTGGTAAAGGAGCTCCAAGGTCATCTAGCCCAGCCCTGTCTTCAGCAGGTGATATATGATCATCTTCATTTTATAGATGTGGTAGCTTTGTGCCTTGCCTGGGGCCATACAGCTGATAAGAGTAGCATACTGATTCAAGAAAGGGCCCTCTTGGGCCCCTACTTTATTATCTGCATCTTAAGAATAGGGACTCTTCCTTTTTAAATGTGAATCATAACCTCAGTGCTATGTACTGTAGAAGAATACTCAAATACGTCATGCGTGGTATAACAATGTTTCATCAACAAGGGACCATATATACGGTGGTAGTCCCAAACTGTGGTAATACCATATTATGCCTTTTCTATGTTTAGTTTTGTTTAGATACAAAAGTACTTACCATTGTGTTACGATTGCCTACAGTGTTCAGTACAGTAGCATGCTGTACAAGTCTGTAGCCTGGGAGCCATAGCCCGTACCATATAGTCTGGGTGCATAGTAGGCTGTGCTATCTCGGTTTGTGTAAGTGCACTCTGTGATATTTGCACAGTGACAAAATAGCCCAACGATGCATTTTGCAGAATATATCCCCATTATTAACCAACTCATGACCGTAATGCAATTTTCCTAGCAGACTGATTGCCAGCCTCACAGTACAATCCCAGTAAGGCAGAAGTTCTCTCAGACTCCTGTGTGCATGGGGCTTACTAAATGCCCATTGCTGAGCCCCACACTTAGATATGGACAGTTGGGGTGGAGCCTAGGATTCTACACATGTAGCCTGGGTGACTCTAATGTTGCTGGTCAGGAAACCAAACTTTGAGAAATCACACAGCAAGATAAAGAGGAAAGAGTTTCCTCCAGGTGCAGGAGCAGGCTCTTTATTTTAATAGCAATAGCTTTCTCACTTCTAAAATTATCTTTCAAATAAAAATACAACCATGAGTTGTTAAGGTATGCATTAGGCATTTTTAGGCATTTTCTCATTTATTGGAAAGGAGAAATAATTAAATTCAATAAAGGTCCCTCCCCACAACACACACACGTGCGTGCACCCACAGGTGCATACACACACCCTCACACACAATTAGTATTGGCTGCTCTTCTGTTTACTCTAGGAGGTCGGCACATTCATTAGATAGACTTTCCCACCACTTGGTGGAATAATTAGCTTGATAAGTAGAGGTAACTGTCCACTCTGGGCTATGTAGTAATGTTTAAACAAATCTGGCCTCAATATTCTATCCTCCTCCCAACTTCCAGCTCATCTTTTTCTCATACAGAGTTTTTTTGGTCCAATTATCATCGTTAGCCTCTTGAACCAAAATGCTGAGTTATTCTAACGAAATGAAAGCAGACTTGAATTTTGGTGCCAAATAAGCTCATTCGACTCCAGCTACCAACAAACATCGTGTCTGAACAAACTTCAAGAGATACAAAGGTCTGATGTTGTGAGGTGGTTCCTGGTGAACTTCAGAGGTGCAATGAACATTGTCACTTCAGTAAGAAAGACTGACACCAACTTAAATGAATTGAGGATGATAGATGTCCTCGAGCCCATATAGGAGATGTGCAAGAGGAAAGGGTGTCACGACAGCCTATGGGACCTTGCTGATTGTCCATTTTTGAAAAATTGCATTCAAAAATCTAATATATAAATATTTCAGAAAGGATGCACTTGTCCAGTAGGATGGACTGCCAGTGAGACCATCAGAGTTTACAACCAGTGTGTTGATGGGTGTGGTAGAAGAAGTGGATGCCTGATTTGTTGAGCCTTTATTAAGATATGGAATATAGAATGGAACCTAGTGCTCCAAATGAAATGGATGGAGTGTTTTTGCCATGGGCGAAGCCCTGTGCTATACAGAAATGAGTCAGACACCAGCCATGCCTTCAACCAGTGGGGGATGGCACTGTCATAGGGTTTTCTCAGAATATAAAGAGGAATCACTGTAGGTGGTGCTGCCTGAGCAAGGTCTGAAAAGGATGCCTGGAATTATCTAGGTGACCAGGATAGGAGATTGAAAACCAAAGGGCATAAGAGCCAAGGCATAGAGGTGGGAACTGGTGTGTAATTCAGTGCATGGATCAAGGCAGGGACAGACAGATCAGATAATGTTTATCAAACCATGACTAGTTTGCATGCTGTTTTTCACACGCATGCAATTACATTTAACTCTTACTATAATCCTAAAGAGTAGGTCTCGTTAACTTTTTTCAAAAATTAAGGAAACCAAAACTTGGAAAGGTCAATTGACTCACTCAGAATCACAGAGCTACAGAGCTAGTAGATGACAGAGCCAGGATTCATCCTTGACTGTCTTATTCAAAGCATTTTTTAACCACGGCAGCTTACCATCTCTGCAGAGATTTGAAAGGAACTCAAAAGTTTCCTAATCCAAATTCCCACGCACAGCAGACATCCTATTTTCTATATTCCTGGCATAGTAATTCAGCCAAGTTCAAGCACCAGTACTGGAAGCTTACAAGGAAGCCCTGAGATTATCTTCTGCCTAATAGCCTACCAGAACTTCTCTCCTTGTCACGTCATTCAGCTGTATCCCTCAGAACCACGCAGATCCAACCTGACTAACCCTGCTTCTACAAACTGCCTCTAGGTAACTAAGGATAGTTGTTATGACCCTTTGCATCCTCTTCCTAGCCAAACACAAGAAATTCCTTTGCTCCTTGGCAGTAAACAAATGTGTGCTATAAAAAGTTATAGGTGGTGTTATTGGGGCACGGAGGAAGCATAAAGGAGGGGGTTATCAGCTCTACTTGGAGGACTACAGGAAAGGCATCGGAAGCAATGAAGCATGTCATAATAGGTCTTTGCCAGGTAGAGGATGCATTTTAAGCATC